ATTAGGAGTTTTTCCAGAGGAATCCGGGGAAACTCGGCGAAAAAACTGCCTTCTCTCAGAGACATTTTGCCTTTACAGCCTTTGCATCTCCTTATAAAGAAAAATATTTTATAATTATAGACAAGGATCGATTGTTACCGCCGTTTTACCGCCGTTTTACCGTTTTACCGCCGCCTGGTTAGCTCAATTGGGAGAGCGCCGGACTGCTGTGCGGGAGGTCGAGAGTTCAATACCGGCCGGACCAACACTCAGGGTCTTAAAAAATTAACTGAGAAGAATATGCTTCCTTTCTTTAACATCAAGAAATGGTTAGATATTCTAGTCTTCTCGGATAGGGACGAATAAATGGAGGTCCCGTCTCCTGCAGGGTTAGGGGCAGGAGACGTTAATTTCCCACGCACGAGATTACTGTGTGATGGATGTCCTCCCCTGGGGTGGGATGGGTGGGTAACAGGACCCCCGTTGATACCAGTGTTTACTACACTGAAGGGGCTATCCTGTATAAATATAGATGTCTGTCTGTCTGTCTGTCTCTATTCTTCGGTCATTCCGGGAATTCCGGGTATTCCAAGTATTCCGGTTCCGAATTCCGGCAAACTACCACTCAAGTCTAGTAGTATTAATAGGGTCACATGTTGTTTGTTCATATTCACAAGAAGATCGTTTTTCACTTTCAATAGAAGTGTTCCTGTTCTGCAGTTCTTTCGGTAAGCAGATTGCTGACATATCGATCCGGATAGATATTGTGGACGCAAAGATGGTTTTGTACTTGGTTGAAAATAGCTTTTTCAGCCACCTTTGACATAAGAGACAAGTTACTGACTGGTCTGAAACTCTGAAATATGTTGATGTCAGCGCCAGGCTTGGAGTAACTAGAGGCTCCTTCCATACTCTAGGGAAAACCCCAGTCCTAAGGGACTTGTTTATTAACAGTGTGATTACAGGTAGAAGCTCATCACATTTCCAATTAGCTTTAATGGCATTGGGTCCAATGGACAAGATTTCCTGGATGAGTGTTGTATAAGGGCTTTGGCATCCTCCTTTCTGAGATCTTTAAACTCCTTCATAACAACATCAGGTGGAAGAAGAGGAGGAGTAGGTCTAGGTTGAACGGAAACTTCGTCAGCATCATGACGACTTCGGATATCGGATATCTTTTTAAAAAAGAAAGATCCTAAGTCATTAACAAAACATGAAGCATCAATAGAAGTTGGCAATCTATTAGAAGTTGGCTTTTTCAGCAATGAACTTGCAGCACGAAATAATTTACCCTGGTCGTGACTATTTTCAGCAATGAAATCCGTGTACAAATCAGCTCGTGCTTTATCCTTAAAGTTAGCTAGGTCTACTGTAGACTTAGTCCTTCTCCATTTTTCTCTGCTCTTCGTCTTTCATGCTTTGAAACCCTGATTTCTTCTGTAAACCATGGAATGCGTGGTCTTTCTACTATTTGTTCTTGTTACAAGCGGTGCGAGGAAGTGATATTTGACCGAGGCTTCTCCCTGATATAAAAATAAATGGAAGAATTTTCCTCCTTTATTATTTCAGCTTACTTCGATTCAATACATATACAATACTTAATTTCAGAACAACATACAAATACATAGTTATTAAGAAAAAGGAAACCCAGAGGTTAACCCTATATCAAGGTCTCCTATTTATGTATAAAATCTTACAGAACTAGTCAATAAAAATATAAAAAAGTCGAATAAGAAGAAGCTAAATATCATAAATAAATATAAAATGGCGATTCAATAAATATTTATATGTTTCTTCAATTTTGATTTAAACTCACTAACGTTAGGGCTGTCACAAAAATTGAATACATTAATAGGAAGATTATTCCAGGGTTTGATATGTCAACGAAATATTGTTCGTGCATATCGCTATACAGTGAAGAAGAAGAAGAAGAAGAAGAAGAAGAAGAAGAAGAACAACAACAACAACAACAAGAAAAAGAAGAAGAAGAAGAAGAAAGAAAGAAAGTTTTATTCCACCATCATCGCAGCTAATCTGAATTACAATGTGGTTACAATGATACGACCATGAAAAATTACAAAAGTTGATGAAAGAGGGACTGGGTTACAATGAGTTTTATAATAAAATTACAAATAAGTTTATGCTTATACAAGTTGAATGGGCGTATAAACGGTCTAAAAGTCTAATAATTGTTAAAAGCTAAGCTAGTACTCCGGAAAAAACGTTGACGGTTGACGGTTAAAAATAAGCTGTTTTGATGGTTGATGGTTAAATTTTAGGTCATTTGACGGTTGACAGCTAATTTTTTGGAATGTCGTTTATATAACGAACTAAACGCGTTGTTATTTTTCATTATGACGCGTTTGTAAAGAACTGTTAATTCATAACACCTTTTATTGATAAATGACTGAAGTTTTACGACGTGCACCGGCAGAAATGTTTGCACAAAGGAAGTCAATTCTGTCGCCAACCATTCTTACTCGCGACTAGAAGTTAAAGGACTTACAGAAATGCATTTTTGTGATATATTTTTACTTCTATTTCTAAACAACAGAACTTGAATCCAATTAAAGTAATCGTTCTGTTCTTAATTAAGGATATCTGAGACATTTGACGGCTAACATTGGCTTGCTTATTCGAAGGTGGACGGTAAAAATATTGCGTTTTTAACGGTTGACAGTTAATATTTTGGTCATTTGACGGTTGACGTCGACGGTTATCCCATTGAGACCCATTAACAAACGGGAAATCCGCAAACCGCAATGAACACCAAAAACCGAAAAACCCAATTTTGTTTTTTTTGGCACAAAAACCGATTTAAAAAGAGCGAAAACATCCTAATGTTCTCCCCCCTACAATCTTTGAAATGAATAGATGAGATGCGGCACTTTTTACTATTTCATTTCATGATTAAGAGGTACTGAATTAAGTTCATTGTTATCTATTGAGTTAAATAACTGTCATAATCTAACTTTATTTTTAAACTCGTCTGTTATTATTCAATATCATGGTTATGAAGAAAGAACCAAATGTAAACAATCGCGTAAAATACGTAATACATGTATACAATTTTAACAAAATTACAGATATGTGAATTTGTATATGTGCACGGGAAATTTCTTTAATTAAAAGAACATTAAATTGATAATTTTTCCAGTCTAATAGAAACAATAACGTTGTTTTATCGACTAATCCGCGATGTAAGCAAGTCGATCAATTATATATACTCCAATATCCTCATCAACTTTTTTACCTATATGGTTTCCGTTACATCACTAAGATCGTTGTTGAACAATTGACCGGTCGAAAGCTTAGATTCCCGCTAAGGTTTTATCCAACTTCAAAATAGCCTGCGTAGCGGCCCCAAAGGGAGGGGTGAAGGGAGTGGGGAGCCGAGCGGAGAGAGGCTTGGGGAAGGCCCCCTGCCCCCTCCCCCCTCTAGGGCCGCTACGCAGGCTAACTTTAAATAAATTTCCGTCACAGAAACCACCTGGATATTACTGACGAGATGACGTATCTGAGATAGGTCTCTTAGACTATAGTAAACGCTATTTAAAAAAAAAAAAAACGTCTTAGGTTGATGAATTAGTTGATTTAAGTGTAGCAGATTTCATTTCAGTGATTACATGTTGATTATCAAAATACAGGGCTGCAATACGTGAAAAAAGAGCGCCGGTAGGGATAATCTTATTTTGTTTCGCCTTGTTGTCTTTAGTGCCAAATGACAGGTCTCAAAGTCCCTGTAAAAATAGAGAAACGCGATGCAGTATCATTCATAGCACTGTACTGGTAACAAAGTCTCATTCTAGTCTACATCCATTAGTACTTGGTATTAGCATTTTTTCACAGAATTCATAGAAGTGCATGTGAATACTGAATGCGGAATTGTTTACATTGTATGCCTAAAAACCAGAGGCGCCAAATGTCAGAATGGGAAATTAAACTTTGATCCCCAAAATAGTTGCTCACCGTCGAAAGGTGTTCATTTTTTGTTCCGAAAAGAACCCCGGCTGCAATGTGATCGTCGGAAACAGAAATAAATACAATATCTGATGGAAACCGAAGAGTTCTATTAGAACGTAAAATCATACTCGTGAGAAGACGTTAAACGTTTCCGCCTTAGAGAGAGAGAGTCACCATGGGTCACGAAGAGTTGCCCACAAATGTTGCACCCCAAATGTCATCATTGGTGTCAATTTACTGTAAACAGAACAATTCTGAGCAAACAAACCTAACTTCAACTTGACTGACTGATTCTCACGAGCCATATTTGATTCGGGCGGTACTGCATTCGTCTACTGTCTTTTTCAAAATAACTTTGTGGTTATTCGCGCAGTGAATTCTGGACTATTAGTAAAGGTTGCGGGAATACTTTTTTTTTAAATCCCCGTCACATCGTTGAAAACAGATTCGATCGTTTTCATTGTGGATTAGCTTCATTTAATGAAAATAACAGAAAAATTTATTTTCCATGTAGAAATGGGAAACAAAAAAAAACAAAAAAACAAAAAAACAAAAAAAAAAAGCGATCTTTAGTCACGTGACGACATCTCTACTCAGATCAACCGCAGCTTTGTGTCAATGTCGGGAGCACAATGACGTCAATAGTACGAGAGTTGCAATTGGCTAGTGGTGGGCGTACCTCCCACGTAAAGGTTATGAGAATGCCTCACCTGTCAGTCAAGAAATGGACTCGATCCTGTGCAAAGAAAGGGGTGAGCGAAATTTGCGATTCGATTCACGTTTGCTTCCAAGACCAAGTGGTGAACACTGGCTTGTAACAGAACTGGAGTGACCAGGATTAGCTAGAGTGTTGTCGTAATATGACTTCTCTTCTTCCTTTCACGCCACCCATTGTTAAGAGGTTGCTGGGCTGGAAGCGGAGTACAGACGACGATGATAAATGGGCCGAGAAAGCAGTGAAGAGTTTGGTAAAGAAATTGAAAAAAACTGGAGGCCTTGAAGAGCTGGAAAGAGCGATTACGAACCCGGGTATTCCTACAAAATGTGTGACAATACCTCGCAGTTTAGACGGCCGTTTGCAAGTGTCGCACCGTAAAGGTCTGCCTCATGTGATTTACTGTCGACTATGGCGTTGGCCGGACTTGCAAAGCCATCATGAATTGCGACCTATCGAGTCGTGTGAATACGCTTTTAGCTTGAAGAAAGATGAAGTTTGTGTGAATCCTTTCCATTATCAGCGAGTAGAAACACCAGGTAATTTTACAGTCAATGTTATGCACAATTCCTTATGTAAAGAATGCTTTGCGGTTATAGAAATACCTGGTTTGTGTTCGTTCGGCGTCCCAATTAGTCTATCGAGTTTTGTTTTGATCTCAAAGCGCGTGTTACATTACTTTGTACACTGTTCGAGTTGTCTTCTGCGATCGTTTTGGATGGTAGGAGATCTGAATATTTTACTTAAGTATGAAATTATAATTTACCTTTTCGAAAGCAGTAGGGATTACAAGCGAACATGCTGCTAACACATCCTTGTAATGCCTAAGTTGTGAAAAAAATGAGTATGTTTCTTCCCCTATTATTGCGCTCTCGTCCATGTGTTTGGTAATTGCGAGATATGTAAGCAGGAAAGTGTGCATTTTTGACTGCAGAAATGTAATCCTCTCGAGGAAAAGATTCTAGACGAATGACCACTTCAAATTTAGCCTTTTCATTGATAGTTTGTCAACCAACACAACATTAATCGGCCGTTGTATCTCGTATTATTGAATGAAGGAACATGTGTTCAAAAACCTGGAAAATGTGTTTCAAAGGTTGTGCACGTTCCAATGTAATTTTTCCTCGCCTTTCGCTATCAGCTGTTTCTGACGCCCAATATTAAATTGCTGCTTTGTAGATAGAGTCTTTGATCGGATCTGATCGGTTAATTTCCATTTTCAAAACAGATGCCTTGATTTTGCGAAGGGTCATATTCGATGGTAAAATTGTGTGATGCAACGTAAAACTTGGTCACTGGCTGGTGTTGGTGGACTTTTTGTGTGAAGTTTATGCGGGATGGTTGTTTGGCACAGTGTTTTTATTCCTGATGGTCGCTGCCAAGGTTTTTTTTTAACACCTTGGTCAATTTCTTTACGTTTAGTTGTCGATTTATGCTTAGCGTGTTATGGACACTAAAGGAAATATGCCGCTATCCCACAGATTTACATTTCAATCAGCTTTCATGGGTTAGGTTTGGATCCTTTCTGCAACATCTCAATGGCCTTTAGACTGACTCGATTAAATGTTACTTTAGATGGTGTTGGTCGAATCGTAGAATTTTGGAAATATGGTCGATCGAGTGAATGATTATTTGACGGTGTGTGTACGTCAAACGCAATGTGTTTGTGTTAGCGCCAAGAACAAAATCGATCTTCTCGCTGCAAAGCAAACTTTCAAGTACTTTTTAGGGTTAGTTTGACAGTGTTCAATAACACATTGTTCCACTTAAGTTTTATATTTATTTGAAAGTTACAAGAACATTTATTTTACGAACTTCATACGTGATATGATCAAGCGACCAGTTGTTTGTTGTAAGTCGTATTAAAAGATCAAGCAATGAAATGGCATAGATACCGCGTCGAACATTTTCGCAATGTTTCCAAATGGAAGTTAATTTCCTGCGTTCTATACATTAAAGCTCTCAGGTCGTGAGTTATTGTTGACCCAATAATTTTATTTCTCTCTATACTATTTGTAACATTCGCCACGCTAGTGCCTCTCTCTATTTCCGTCTTTTTCAAATTAAATTAATGAGGAGAAATTATCAACCATTTATTGTTCACGAACACGAAACTTTGTTCGATGATGCGTAGTAATGCAAAGTCAAACAGCGTGAATATGTATACAAGTTTTGTTTTGCATTGTTCTGGAGGTAATTTGTACGAGAAATCAAATACAAAAAATTGGGCTTGTCTCCGGAAGGGAGTCTCCATACGTTTTCTTGTTATCTGATATCCAGCCAATGATCAACTGCAGATTTTTCGTCATTTTCAAGTTTTTCACGATTGTTAAGTGAACGAGTTTTCCATGAAATGCCAGAATAATAGAATTTTCGTTTATATTGTTCTCATCGCATTGTTGTTTATGATTTCGTTCGAATCGTTTCACAGTCTGTGGTGACGTTGTTACATGATATCAGAAAAATGCTAATTGCCATGCTTTGTTTCTCCTCACGTTGTTCTAGAAACTTTGTTTTCCTTTTTGCAAGTTAACCCTAACCCACTGTAATATACTAACTTCTATATTTTCTCTTCTGGAATTTTACTATCATTTGTTCTGTGGAAAATTAGGTATAGGGTTTCTTTGTTTTCTTTTTAGAGGAGTGAACAGTTCTTGTTATTGCTAAAGCTTTGTGTCTGTCCAAATAGTTTATTTTATGTCTTATATTTTGAAGCATACATTGGTGCAATGTTTAACATGCTTATGTCTTAAACATTGATATCAGCTCTCAGAGGTTTATATTGGTCAAGGGTGCGACTGGTGTGGTGTGTGTGTGTGTGTGTGAGAGACTTAAATCAGCAGAAGATGTCAAGCAAAGCAAATACTTCAAAATATTGTTTATTGGGCTTAGGCATACCCCATTTGCTATGTTTGGTGCATTTAGTAACAATAGCAACGCTTAAATCTTGTAATAATGAGCATTACCCATTAGGTGTTAGCTGCAGTTTAAACTGCTGTAAACCTTGGAATGGTGGGGTTTTGTTTAATCTTCCTGTTTAATCAGGGTTGACATTATCATTTAATAAGGAAATAACACTATGTGACTTTGATCAATCTGAAGTGCTAAATGAATTCATTTAAGTTTACTTATCAATCATACAAGCTTGAATTTGCCTGTGCAACAAATCATTGTTTAAAATGAAATCTTTAGCTAAGGAAAAGTTTCAAACTCTACAACATTTTTTTGGAGAGTTCAAACAATCTATTATCTGTTCCAGTGGGCTGACTGTGTAGATAAATAACCTACTTATGGGTCATGACCTGGTTAGATCTGTGAAGTTCTAGATCAGAGACAAGGATTTACTAATTGTAAGAGTATTGAAACCTTTGCAGAGACATCCATTTTCCAGTCACAGCTTTGGAGAGTATTATTATCTATTAAATGACAATGTAAAACTGATAACTATATATTTGTATTAACAATCCTTGATATCATATATCTGAACACTTACAATCAAATCTGTAGTATTGATAAATAGAGACTTGGATCTACAGCCGGATATCCGGTAACTAAATACATTCTAACTACAACAAGTTTGAAACTAAGCAGAAACTACATCTAAGTTATAACAATAAACAATCTAGATTTAAAATCATGGTATTTTTTGTGAAATAAAAATTAATAATGTAACTATTTGTCAGTAATACCTGTTTATGATGCTTTCATGAATTATTTTATAATTTTGTGCAAACTATGTTAAACTATAATAGTACAAGTTGTAAGGAAAATGATGATAATTCAGGTGAGGTAAAATCTGTGCTGTAATTCTTGTTGTTCCCAACTTTTTGGCCAAAGACCATGAATAGCTTTTGTGGAAGAGTATTGCTTGTTCAATAATTGAGTGTCACCATATTTAAACAAGTAGCCTATTATTTAGTTAATTGCTATAAATTGTTTCATTTAGTTCTTCCACCTGTCCTTGTTCCACGTCAAACAACTGAAGTTCCCAGGGAACGCCCAGCACTGCCTGAATACACCAGACCAGAAAATACCTCATTTCCTACCCAAGAGCCTACTAACTCCCCATTCCAGTTGCCTGGTAGGTACAATGTTTTATCATAAATGACAGGAAGTAAGCAGTTGATGAGAAGCCCTATGCCTGTTAATCAGTGAGTAGCGGGAATTCCTTACCCATGAACCTTTATCTGAAGTCTGCACATTATCATTATTAATACTGATTATGTGGTTGCCTGGTCCTACACTCATTTCTATAGCATGAACAGGCAAGGAGCATACTTGAATTTCTGTTTCAGTGAGGAACACTCAGTTATCTTTAAAAAAAAAAAAAGAACCTTTTGTTTACCACAATTTTTTGGTAATCATTTGTACTCTTTTGGAGAAAGGCAGCATAAAAGTGAAGTTTTGTGCTGAAGAATGCAACTCAGTGATCTTTGAATGGCTTGAACACTGACTCTCTAAGTAGGAGTCCATAGTGCTAACCATTTGTCATTTAGTTGGTATTTCTTGAGAGATTAAATTAGACTTGAAATGGAGAGAAATTTTTTTTCCTATCATTTCATGACAATGTAGTGGTTGAGGTTCCTCCAAACCTTTGTGGGTATCTTTCTGAAATAGATTTGTATAGTCTACTACAATCTGTGTATCAATAATCTGATTATTTGATGCTGAATTTTGAAAAGTGCAGGGTATTCTGACTGGTTATTCCTATAATGAAAGGAAGGAAGCCAGTAAACAGCTAAACAACCAAACACCTTTCTGTCAAGTTGATGGGATATCAAAATGCAATCTCTGATTAAATATTACTGCACATTAATAATCACAAAACATTCATTCCTCCAAGTGTGCAAGCATTTCTCCATATTCCTAGTAGTTTTGTTTTAAGGAGATAATTCCAGCTCTTTGGTAGTATTCATAGGGCTGCCAGGAGGGAAGTTCATGAACCAGTACTTAATTTTGCAAATGCCAACTCAGTTTTTTGACTCGCTGTTTTGTGAACATTTGGGTGAAATTTGACAAAACTGCATCAATTCAGCATACATCATCGAATTCATTTATCAAAACTATTGCAGGGCTCAACGCTAACCTTTCAAGTTACTAGCTGAGAAGTTAGTGACATCTTAGATGTTATGGCAAATTTCAGTTCGTTTACCAGCCAAACTGACATGTAGAAATAAAAAACCACGAGCCAAAACTGAATTTCTACTGGTCTTTGGCTAGTTGGCTACCATTAGTGTCCAGCCCTGTATTTGATAACAAAACTTTTTAATGTGAGTGGTTTTCACCTGCTTGAATTGAGCATCCAATATTATATTTTATAATGTTATAGTTTACAGTTTACATGTCATGCATGTGTAATTGGATGGTTTGCATCATGTGCATGCTGACCTCTATATAATAAAGTCCTCGAATGCCACTTGGCTAGTAAGTTGAAAAGTTAGTGTCAAGCCCTGTTAGTAGTGGGAAAAGTGAACCGCTGATTATGTATCTTTATCACATGACTCGGGCAGTCAGAGGGCCAATAACTAAAATCAACCAATCAAAATGCTCTATTGCCGGTCAATATTCTCTCAGTATTGGACCGGGCACTGTCCCGAATGATACTGCACTTGTGTCCCTTTGAACTTCAGTCGTATAATAAATCTCTCATTAACCAAGCTTGCTCAGGACTGTACTGGAAGAATATCAGCCCTCGGTCTTTTTTGTACGGACCTTGCTGCGCTCGGTCCATACTGTCAAGACCTCAGGCCGATATTCTCCCAGTACGGCCCTCGCACTTGGTTAATAAGATATATATATATATATATATGAACATTTCCCTTAAAGCTGCTGGGCCTTATTGTTTGTGGATCATGCCTTTTAGATGTTAATGTTTTTGCAACTGAATGCATGGCTTAAAATTAACGGTAACCGGTTAACCAATGGTTAGTAATTTTCCACATTTGGTTACTAAAATTTGTCCAACTAACCCAACATGGCTAGTAAAATTTTCTAACATATTTAAACATTGGTAGACCTCAGGACAAAGAGCATGTAGACCTGACTCTCAGAGGAATACTTGGAATACTCAAGTTGTTAAGTCAACTTTAACTCTTATTAGAGAATGTGCTTTAGATGTACTGTTCTTGACTAATCATGGTAAACGAGAGGGAAATAAAATAGGTGCACAATTGTCAACATTTTTGAGGTCACCATGCAATTTCAGCCACTCTTTAATTTGTCCTAGTCATTATTATCAAATTGATAATAGTCATTATTATCAAATTGATAATAATGACTAGGACAAATTAAAGAGTGGCTGAAATTGCATGGTAACCTCAAAAATGTTGACAATTGTGCACTTATTTTATTTCCCTCTCGTTTACCATGATTAGTCAAGAACAGTACATCTAGAAGATGTTCAATATTTGAGATATGGTAACTTGTGAGCTTGGATACCAACTTTATAATTTGGTGAGTAAAAACGATGTCTACTAACCCCAAGGGTTAGTGATCCAAGAATTAAATTCGAGGCCTGGAATGTATACTCAAGTGACATGAAATGACTAATACAAGCTTTTTTCAATATTTTTTGGGATTTTGTTGTAATATCATGCTGTCAGGGTCTTGTATCTGGCAAAGAAGATGGTTTCATGTCATGGTGATTAACTAGCATTGGTTCTGTTGTCTGTTGCATGCACAGATACTCCAGGTTATATGTCAGAGGATCAGTGCTCAGTTTCAGGAGATCAACCACAGAGCATGCAGACAGGTAGGGCCCTAAGTAGGTCTTTTCAGTCTTAATTCATCTCATGGTTATAGATTTAGATTTATTATGATTTATTCCACAGTATTACAAGTATATAACAAATAATTAAGAAAAATAAAAAGGAAAAAAAAAAAATAAGCAGTGGGGTAGGAGACAACCAAAAGTGCAATGGTACCATACTAGGCCACATCACAATATTTTGACTTACTTTGACTTACTTTTACTATGAACAAGGATAATCCTCGGAGCAGCTTCAGTAAATTAATTGAGTATCAAAAGCAATATGCAAATCCTTTCACTTTTCATCAGTTTCCCTTGTGTTTGGTGTACAAAACATTAAACACATGCGTGTTAGATAACCAAAACCACACTCTTTTAATTTTCATGCAAATTGAAATTCAATGTGTTAGCTTCCAGAATGTAAACAGTGTTAAAAGTCAGAGTTTAGTGTGAACTATTTCACGGTTTCCTTGCAGATCCAGGTCCTCTTTCTCCAGACCCTTCCCTTGCAGGTAAAACAAATATTATTTGATTTTTGTTGCAGTGTACCTTTCATCAAGTTATGGCTTCTGTTGAGCTGTAATGTGTACTTCCTTATTTTTATGTTTCATTTTGCATTATTTGAACAAGACAGATTTGTTCTGTATGAACACGTGTGTAGCAGGCATTTTTGTAATCAGTGTTTTGTTGTTTACTAGATGCGCAACCTGTGCAGTACACGGAGCCAGCATACTGGTGCCAGATTTCATATTATGAGATGAACACGAGAGTTGGAGAAATTTTTCATGCAGCTCGACCAAGTCTTACTGTTGATGGCTTTACTGATCCCTCTAGTTGTGACAGATTTTGTCTGGGACTGTTGTCTAATATTAATCGCAACCCTCAAATAGAGATGACACGTAAACACATTGGGAAGGGAGTGCGTCTCTATTACATTGGTGGGGAAGTGTTTGCTGAGTGTTTGAGTGACAGTAGTATATTTGTACAGAGCCCCAACTGTAATCAACGGTATGGTTGGCACCCTGCGACTGTGTGCAAGATTCCACCTGGATGCAACTTAAAGATCTTTAATAACCAAGAATTTGCTCAGTTATTGTCGCAGTCTGTCAATCAAGGTTTTGAGGCAGTGTATGCATTAACTCGCATGTGCACTATCAGAATGTCGTTTGTTAAAGGCTGGGGTGCTGAGTATCGCAGACAAACTGTCACAAGCACGCCATGTTGGATTGAGCTTCACCTCAATGGGCCCCTTCAGTGGCTTGATAAAGTTCTAACACAGATGGGTTCTCCTTCTGCTCACTGTTCATCAATGTCCTGATGAATTTTACTGAATGTAGTATTTCATGTGTGAATTTTTACTGAATGCTTAGAGAAGCAAGTTAGGCTTAAAGCTTTTTAAATCCTCAAAACCTTTTACTGGGCTTTGTGTATGATATATCGCATGCAAAAATGCCATATACTGACTTATTAGTTGATTCCTTTTTAGAAAGGCAATCTGCTATTAACTATATTTTATATAATTATGAGAATCAATGATTGCATACAAATGTGCCTTTGATGTCCAGAGAGAGGGAGAAATGTACATAAAACAGCCATACTCAGTTGCAAGTTTCCAGAAAGTTTTCTTTTATATTTTCTTTTTATTTCCATCACAAATTACAACAATTACAATTGTAGATTGTTTGGGGTATCTATACGAATCCTTTACTCTCAAACCAGAACCTAATGAATTTCCATTTGCAACTCATTTTAAGGCTATCAACTGAAAAGAAGACAAGTGTACTTTGTTTAGGTCAGAACAAGAATGGAAATTATATGTTTAGGGCTATTTTGGGGTTAGTACATCTAGAGGCTGCTTTCAAGAAATTGCAAACATAGAAACAATGCAGTAAAAATGAATCACCATAGGCAAAAAACTGAACATTTGTTAAAACACTGGTTGGGGTCACATGTTCAAACTACACTTAAACAGTATTAAACAGTTAAGCTCTACTTAAAGAGTTTTAGTGTTCAAGAAGAAACAAGAATTTAAGTTTGTCAACTGGTTGTATTTAATATTTAAAAGCCCTGTCATCTTTAACACTGTCAGTGACGAATAATGTAGGAATTTGCAACTGTGTCAAGGGAAGGGAAAATTTTTGAAAGTAGATCTTGAGAGGTGGATGTCTTTTGGCACTGACACTGGAAGTAAGAGCACTTTTAGCAGCTGATGTGAGTCACACAAAATAAGTTTTGTGCCACATAGGTTTTCTGTAATGACTGTTCGTCACCTTACTATAATGTATGTCTATTGAATTCAGTCTTAATAACTGTATACCAAAAGTAAATAAGAACAAGTAGCTATAGTAACCTATGAAATTTAACAGCAAATTTTAAAAGAATTTAGTACAGTTTTCTATCAATTTATGAGTGAAACCTTGAAATTAGGTGAACAAGGAAAAGAGGTTTGCCTTGTTAGGGAAAAGTGGGAAAGCCATTCATGGAATGCAGTACACATAGTTTTATTCAAAGTGTTTCAAATTTAGTTTCACATTAATGCTCATTTTAGTATGAGTATTTGGTACGAGTCTCTGTTTTCTTTCTGCTTGTCATTGATGGATAAGCAAGGGGAGCAGTATAACAATGTATGTGTGCCACAATTCACCATTTAAAACTGATCTTAAAACTGTTATAGTTTGTTGGAATATGCCAAGTGTGGCCTACTGTATGCTGATAAATTTCTCACCCCTAAGTTTGGAATGATAATTTTAGAATGGTACACAGACTGTTGAGCAGCAGGCCACTGGAGCCTTTGGTTCTTCAGGAATTACTGTGGTATCATTCCTTTCATACTAGTGAAAAAGAAAATACTCATTGCAGTCTTCGATGAGATTAAGAATGACATTTTTAACCCTCATAGTAATTGTAAAAACCTTAGCAACAGTGATTGATTTGTATTTATTGCTTATGCAAGGATTGCAACTTGCATTTCCAAACTTAAGAAGAAACTTGGCATATCAAAGGCAATTAACAAGGAGCATTGCTAAATAAATGCGGTGTGCTCTGTTGTACAGGATTATAAAGATTGTTTTAACAGGCTAGTTTATGTGAAACTTATTTGTTGAAACATGGACTTTGCAAGCTGTTTATGGCCCTCTTCCTTTTTCCATGAATTGCAGCTTGCCAATTACTTTTTTTGTTAATTTGTTATGTTGTTGTGGAAGTGGTAAATGCATTTTCTGTTAGGCTTCATGTCTCGTAAAATTATACAGTACCATCAGTCTTAAAAAAGCATATTTTTTTTTTAGTCTTTGAGGGTTACGAGAAAGGTGATGTTTAAACTGTAATTAGAATTTTTAGATGGTTATTGTAGATTGTAAAACGTAACTAGAAATATGATGGCACCTACTAAAGCAAATAATACAATTTAAATAGAACCTAAAGGCATTGCACAGCAGTTTATGTTTGCATCTAGTACAAATTTTTACGTTTACAACTCTGAAGTTTTAATTTCTCACCTGTATTGTGCATAAGCTAGCTGGTAAATATAAAGAATGGTCCTATTTTAACTTTGTAAATGTTGTCCCTGTCATTTGATACCATTAAACTACCACCCATAGGAGTGGGGTAAGGTCATTCTCCGTCACCCCTGATGCTCAATGAGTTATCCTTTTGAGGACCATTTCAGCCAGCACTTTGTATAAAATTGGAAAATCCGGTGAAATCTCTCTCCAAAGAGATTAGGAACAGGCTGACCTCAAGTGCTCCTGTGCGCCTTCATACATAAATTATGCCCGTGTTTCGACAATTAAGCAACCTCTTCATGGAGGAATTATTGTTATCCTTGAATTTTTAAACGTTGTATATAACACAAGTAATTCAGCTTATAGCTGCAAGTTGTGGTTTTTTAATAAACGATTTACTGATTTACTCCTCATCATTTCAATGATAACCCTTAGAGGTGTGGCGGAGAACTTATTCGCAGACCGCATTAAACTCAGCTGGCTGCCAAAACAGTAGACTAACCATGCGGGGCCCAATTTCTCGCTTGTCCGTTTGATCGTGCTTGATTTTTTTGTCATTGTAGGTGCACTCGGTTTGTAGACTTCTAAAAGAAGCCAATGATTATTCTCAATGATTACATTTTTATTTTACTCCTTGTGTGCAGTTGCTAGCTAATATATTATGACCTGGGCTTTAAAAATTTAAGAAATTTTCTATTGCAACGATTCTACCGATCACAAAGAATTCGTCTGTCTATTATTAATGATGGTTGTTACATTTGGTAATTGATGTAATTTTTTTCGTCAGTGGAATGGAAAGAGAGAGAAACAAATCACAACCAAGTGTGCGGAAAGAAGCAGAGGCGCCCCTTTTAAGCAGGGGAGGAGGAGGGGGAGGGAAAGCGATATGATAGGAACCTGGATTCAAGACATCGAAGGAGCCAAAGTTCCAGGTGATCTGTGACGTCATTGCGGGGGCCTGGGGAAAGAAAATTTAAAAGTATATCCCATCAACCAACGCGCGCACTAGTTCAATCTGTTTTCATGGCGGCCGGTCGGCGTGATGCGAGGTCGATGTAGCTAATTACTTTCGCACTTTAACAAGTGAGAAGACTTGTCATGGGCAGTTTGAACAATGCAGCTACTGCCGTGAGAAACTCCGTGTCTGCGTGGTTAAATACTTTGACAGCTTTTTGCGATGACTATTGCAGACAATCCAAACGAAAGCTCGATGTACTCATGCATTATTGTATGAAGTTTGCTTTTTTATTTCTTACTTCTGCTTACTTATGTACTGGATGGGGCATTCGCTTTATCAACAGTAAATGTTATTCGTATTAAAGCTGCCTTGTTTCTGGGAGTGGTGTGTTTGTGTTGATTTTATTTTTTATATGTGATGATTTTAAAGAAGTTTTGATCAAGCCTTAGTTGCTCTCTCGAAGTCAGTTCCATCATCGTGGGCTTTTTGACGCGGCGATATTCAGCATTTAAAGTACTTTTAAATATGTATTGTCTCTTTTGCCGGCTAATTGTTTTTATTGTGATTTTTATTGTTTGTTTGGATGTCTTATCGAGCAAAGGAAAATGCGCTTCATGCCGAGTCAGTAATTCGAACATCTTCGTCTTTATCCGGAGCACAAACTGTATGGCTTGTCAATCTCTCGGAAACTGGTTTCATTAAGACAATGCGCAGAAAATATTCTAGACGACGAGAGTAATCCTTATTCCAGGAAGCAAAGGGTAAGTGAACTGCTGAACTGTCTGAACGATGAAGAACTTGTGGAATTAGTTTTACCAAAGATTGCAAAAATTGTACCACCTGTGGACTTTTTACTGCAAGGAACTGATGGAAATCATGATTTCACAGCAAATTATGCAAGATCAGAGATGAACTTTTCCTGCACTACCCAGAACTTTAAGCACTGTTTTGTCCAGAGCCCTCACCAAGCACTGGTTTCTATAACCAGAGGCAAGTGTTCACTGAAATAGTTCAAAAGAACAAACCTAATTCTTGCAACTGGCTCCTTGAAATTGACAATGGTTCTTTTTTCAAGGATGTTGTTATGCCTTGGGTTTTTAAAAAACAGCACTCGGCATTTTTGGAATTTTCTTGTGGAATTGTCAGGTCCCTTGTGATTGGACAAAGGGAAACACAAGATGCACTAAGAAACAAGTGGGGAAAAAATTGGAAGTGGCCATTGGCATCAATCCAATTTTAAGTAAAGATGAGATTGTTGGTAATCTGAATGACACCTGCCAAGAATTACTGAAACAAATTAGTCTAGAATTTAATGAATTTGGAGAAGTAATTGTAGGCCATGTTGACATTGAAAAGTACATTTCATTGTTTCTTGCCCAACCTGGAACTCAGAGTGTAATAAACACACCCAACAATTATCTGATTCTATTGGATTACAAAGATGGTTTTCCATGGCTTAAATGGTCTCATCATTTTACTGCAGAAACCAGTGTAAGAGTGAAACTAGTTGAGCCTTACAATTTACTTAGCACAGTTTTGACTGTTGCCCTTTGGTTGGGGAATGATGACTATGAGACAACAAAAGAAATGTGGTCATGCTGTTTATAAACAGCTTCAAGAGCTAAAAACAATTAAACATCCACTGACTGGGCAAGAAATAAAAATTATTAGTCTAAGACACACTTGTGGGGATGGTAAGGAAAGGAGGTTATCTACTGGCAGTTCATCTGCCAAATCTACTTATCCAATTCCAGAAGCCCCAGACCCAACTGGGTGACATGAAGATCATCAGTCCAGAACCAGTTTGGACAGTTTTAGATGTAGAGAGTTGCCAAAAAAAAAATTTGAGAATGAACTATGTGGAAAAGCCCCCACTAAAGAAAAGCGCAGAGAGTTTGCAAAACAAAATCTTGGGAACACTGGGCATAAAAATTTGAATGGTACAGCCTTTTTGGAGTACTACCCTGGTACTGCTCACCTTGGGTTTCGGTCACCTGAAACACTGTTTGCAAATGGCAAAAATTGCAGCAGCTAAAATGTGCCTTTTTCAAACTAGTTCACATCAACAGTGATTGTATTGTGCCAGGAAATATCTATATCTCATCCACAAAAAGTTTTTTTTGGTTTAACACACTTAGGCACCGGGAAGTTGTCTTTAGCTTTACTTTCCTTGCCACAATAGAGGTAGGGGTCTGTAGGGTGATTATGGATATTTCTACAAAATGTGTAGCTCCGTAAAATTTGATATCTCCCCTATGGAAGGAATTTTTTATAAGCACCCCCACCCTCCGGAAATTCTGAAAAATCTCCAAGTATTTTTTTTATAGGTTTTGGTATTTGAGAATGAGACCCCCAGGAATTTTCATTTGCCTTCTGTGGGGGTAATGGCTAGTTACTGGAACTACACAATAAGAATAACAAAAACAATATGTGTAAAGCAACATGTTCAAAAATTATCGAAGTCCTTTTAAAATTAGGAAATAACGTGTATGCCTAACACAAGTTTGCACCCTTTCACTAAAATTCCTGTAAAATTATAATCTATATTTTACATAAATTGGGTATAGTATATAACCCAACTGATACTGTATACCACAATGATATCTGGAATTTTTACAGTTTAAAAAAGTAGTTGGATGCTACACAACTCTGCAAGTCTGTTCATTTCATTTCTGTTCATCTTCATGACCAAAGATTCCTTGAGTTTAGATGTCATGTCATTACCAAAGTTGGAGAGGAAGGTTCGAAGGCAGAGTTGTATTATTGAAGCAGAAGTCAACCAGAAATCGAGTGGCAAATGGACGGAGGAATGTATCCTGGCAGGTGAAAAACCACCATACCGGATTGCGGTGGGATTGATGCGTCAAAATGAGCCTAAATTGAGCCAGTTGAAAGAGCTGCTACAAAAAATTCCATCCTTGAAGCGAGCAGCCGATGGAGGCCTTCAGGCAACTTACCAACCAAGCTCGAACGTCCATGGAAATCCCGAGGAAAGGTATCCGGTCTTGAAAGATCCGACTCTCGTCAGAGCCGGGTAGTTCGCTTGTGTACGTCTCTTAAGCACATTGCACATTACCATCGCACAATAAAACTGAGTACGTCGTCAAAAATTATATACTCCCTGATGGAAATGAAATTTTTAAAACAGTCTTCTGCGGGAAAGAATCGAGCGCTGAGTCGAGAATACTATCCCAGCATTGGACTCACAGAAGCCATCCAAGTAAGTAAAATTTTCACCTTTCAGAACAATAGCTGTCTTTCAGAACATTACTTTCTCGCAAACTTTCCCGCATGGTGTACGACCGGCCACCACACAGATTGAATTAGTGCGCGCGTTGGTTTATGGGATACAGCATCAAATTTTCTTTCCCCAGGCCCCCGCAATGAAGTCACAGATCACCTGGTTCATATAACTTCCGGCCTCGATGTATCTCAGTTGTGATGGAGCGGATGAAATTCAGCTCTGTTGCAGAATGTTACCAGATCTTAAACGGAAAGAACTCATCGGAGGTGGGAGTTTTGGAAGCGTTTACAAAGCCACGTTGAATGGTAAGCCAGTGGCAGTGAAAATCCGTCATGAACGTTACTTCAGAGAACGTCGCGGCAACAACAAATATATGGTGCAGTTTCAGGCGGAATGTGAAATTCTTCAAAACCTCCAGCACAAAAACGTGGTTATGTTACTAGAATTTTTCATTTCACATTCTTCACCGCCAATGCTGATAACTGAACTCTTGGATTGTGACTTAGGAAAGTATATTCGTAATTGTCATCCAGGGAAGATTCCATATTCAGAAACTGTCTCGATTATGCTAGACGTAGCGGAAGGTCTCGGGTATCTCCATCAGCAAAATCCACCGATACTTCATCGAGACTTGGCCAGCAAAAACATTCTTCTTACCAAGGGAAGGCAGGCAAAGATTGCTGATGTTGGTCTTGCTAAAATGCATCCAGAAGGCAAACAAATTTATTGTTCTCCTGTGCCCGGAACGCCAGCTTATGCCGCACCAGAAACGTTTTACCCAGACTACGATGCAAGGTTTCCCACGACTAGGCGAGTCGAGTATGACACTAAGATTGACATCTTTTCCTTCGGAATCACTTTGATGGAGGTTATCAATGGAAAATCACCTAGTCCACAGCCAAGTGATCAGCCATTTACGAGCGGTGCGTTTCGAAATTTTATAAGCCATATTAGGTAATGTGTGTATGCAATGTACAGTTATCTCGGTGTACGTGTAGACATATCATCGAGGTCGAATGTTTAAAATGCACCCAGGATTAATCTCAGAATGTTTGGTTTTCATTCTTTCTCTAAGAATAACTGTTCTTATCTAAGACCTCGAAACATACTTTAAAGTTTTGGGCTCGGCCATCAGAAGAAATCGCCTCCCGGTTAGCTCAATTGGTTAGAGCACTGGATTGTTGTGTGGGAGGTCGAGGGTTCGAGCCCCGGCCGGACCAACACTCAAGGTCTTAAAATAACTGAGGAGAATGTGCTACCTTTCTATAATATCAAGAAATGGATAGACATTCTAGTCTTCTCGGATAAGGACGAATAAACCGTAGGTCCCGTCTCCTGCATCTATTAATTAGTTAATTTGGCTAGGCAGGGGACGTTAAAGAACCCACTCACGAGATTACTGTGATGTGGTCTGGCCTGTTTATTGGGAACTTGGGAGAGGGGGCATTTCCTTCGATTGTTTGTAAACTGGGCGATTGTTTGTGGAACTTGGGAGAGGGGGCGTTTCCTTCGATTGTTTGTAAACTGCTGATACAGTCCGGCCAAAGTCCCTCGAAAAGTGTTGTGATGCGCATTTGATCATATCCACATGTTAATTTGCGCAATATAGATATTAAATTATTATTATTATCAAGAAATCTCGTTCCCAGGCTCCTCTCTTTTTATTTGTCATCCGTGATGTCACGCTAGGAGCAAGACAGATATCTGAATTACGCATGTTGGTAGATTAACGAGCGATTAATTTTCCCCCTACCGAACCATGAGTGTGAGTGGTATGTTAGCTTTTTCTTGAGCCTGACCTTTCGTGTTTATTTATAATTTCAACTTATTTAGCCCGTGACGAGAAAATTTTTCGTTAATTTTTATTACTTGTTTAAAGATGGTGTGCAGATCCCAGTAAAAGATCGCCGTAAATGTGACATCGAGTTGATGGGTGAACATCAGCTGAAGGAAATTGTCTTTCACTGTATCGAGGACTCTACTGACAGGCGACCAAGCGCTGAGGAGCTCACTGAAATGCTTCGACGCGAATCTTCAAAAATCAAACATAAGGAAATGATTGCAAACAACAGAGCTCGAGGGGAAATCCCAATGATTGAAGTTGCAGTTTTAGGGCAATCGGGTGTAGGAAAGACATGTCTTATATCACAATTTGTAAACCACAAGTTCGATGAGAATGTAGCTCCCACATGTGGTAGTGGTTACCAACACGTTGTTATCAACGTCCACGGTAAAGACTTTAAATTGATCATTGCAGATACTGCTGGACAAGAACGATTCAACCATTCTATTACTCCGGCATCTATTCGGCGATCTCAGGGTATCCTCCTTGTTTACGACGTAGAAGACCCTTCCTCTCTCATGGAGGGCATTCCCGAAACGTTGCAATGGATTCATGAGAACAGACCAGATATTCCTAGTTTGATTTCAGTGGGCAATAAGGGAGATTTGACCGAAAACGAGCCGAGTAAACTTGTTATCCCTACTAAGGAGGGCGAACGCTTTGCTCAAAGTTGTGGAATTCCCTTCACCGAAACTAGTGCAAAAAGTGGAAAAAATGTTCAAAAAGTGTTTGAAATGATTGCAAAAAATATCTATGATTATTTGGAATTATCTGATATTGAGATCTATATCTCAGATGAAAGAAGAGATACAATCCCGTTCACAGTCAGTAATGATCCCCCACGTGGAAGGAGCATTTTAGAAAGGATTGGTGACTGCTGTAAGTTCTAGATGGAGCCGGTTCGAAGGAACTTTTAGAGCCAAAACCGATTCGCAAGATTGAAATAACTGTATACAAGGCGGCTAATAAAACCATAGTTGTTGGAAATTGTAAAGCAAGCTTTTACAATGTAATAAACAAATATTCTTCCGTTTTCTCGGATAAATTGCCTTACATGTATGATGTGTTTTCTAAACCTGACAATGACTGATATCGTGAAAGCTTCCGCTTTTAGTCAGTAGATTGATAGGGGTTTAAACATTCGAGAACCGGATTATATGAAAAATTCTTTTTCAAGATTGGGTGTAAGGATCTGGAATAGTATTCCCATCTGTCTTCGTTCTACAAAGTATAAATTCAAGAGTATTCAGCACAGACAGCTGCTGAACATTTTGATGCGAGAGGATTCTTATGATGAAGTCCATACTTCAAGAGATAAATTGAGAAAATGTTTTTAGTTACATTTGCTGTTGTTGTTTTTTTGTCGCGTGTAATTTTAGTCCAGTTGTAAGATGTAACACCAAATTGGCTTAACTATAACATCGTACTGGTTTTCATTGTTCGTGTATATCGGCATGCTCTATCGGCATGCGCATGCTCTCCAAGTCATCTGCTCTGTTCAGTCAAATTTGTTATTGAATAATTTATTTTAATGTTTGATTCCCTCCCGCCGCGATTGGCTTCGCTACTTAGCATGTAGGGATTGTTAGCCTGTATTTTTATTGGTAACATTAATAAATTTTCTTGTTGGGTATTTTGAATTAAAATGATTGAAGTTATGAGACTTCTCACCATGGGTTAGACCGTGGTGACCAAAAATGTTACGGAATGATTTTTTTCGTTAGAGAGCTCCCTTTTTAAAAAACGTTTGCGCTCGACCCGCAGTCAAGCAGGTTTTTATAAGGCAGTCGGGCGGTTACTAACTTCCGAACCCTTTCGATTTCATAGTCTCGTCACTATCTTTAACCCATTTCATACAGACAAGAGAATGATCTCGATCTCGAGTGTTGCCTGTGAACGGAGAGAACTTGTTCGTTCGCACGAACGTCAAATGAGAAAAATTCAAAGAAAAATTTATTTAAATTACGATTTTACTACAGTTACTACAGAAAAATGCTAGGAGATATCAACATTTACTGCTGCATCTTTTGCCGTAAGTTTCCCCGCGGAAAGTTTTGTCTATCTGCACACGCTGGCGTCAGATCTTTGTTCCTCTTAATCATCAAGTTCACATTTGCCAAAAATTCCCCTGCTTTTCAACGCCGGAGACTTTTCAATGAACCGAAGAGAGCCGTTTATCTTATCTAAGGGATTGGTCATTATTTAATGCCAATGGGGGGAGGGTAATCGGAGGATTTTTTGTTGTGTCACAATAAAATTTACCTTACCTTAAGACTCTGCCCTTTCCACAGGGTGTTTCACAGGGCAATAGAATCGGTCTCCTTTGTATTTATATTATTTATCAACCATTTCCCACTTCACTTGGGTTCAACTGATATATTGGTTGAGTTGTACGCTGATGATAGTACACTGATACCCTCGTCCAGTTTCAACTCAATTAAAAAGCCTAAGGGCTCTCTTAAGAATTCCCTGGCAGGTGTCAAAGATTAAGCAATAAATAACAGATTGCCAATAGATGAGTCAAAAACCAAATCACTGCTTGTGACTGAAAAGCGCTCAACTCAGTGATAGGCCCGCTGAGAACAATGACAAACCACTTAGTCTGAAGACAGCCAAGGGACACATTTTGGTGCATGTAAGTTCTGCAAAACCTTTTGGTCTTGAAATAGACTACGACATCAGTTTCAAGGTACACATCAACAAATTTTGCAGTACATTATGATATCTCGACGGATTGCTAAAGATAAAGTGATGCCTTCCCCTTATTATAATGCTGTCATCAAACCAATTACGTCATCTTACGTAAGTTTTGTGTGGATAAAGTCTAGAAAGGAATATTTCACTATGGCGCTTGCAAAAGAGGGCAGCCTGGATTATTCTCGACGCACCACAAGCTTCCTTAGTGGAACTCTTTTATGAGAAGCGAAGATTTCCAAAGCTGTCTCAGCTAAAGGCCCGTTTAAACGTTTTCAACATTTGCCTCAACACGCATTCATCACTGTGTTGAACCAAATGTTCGGTGTATTTGAACAGGTCGTCCAACATTGTTGAAAACGTCAAAAATGTTGAAAGTTTGTTGAAAACATGTTGAATAAAGTTTAAATTGGTTTCAACTTTTATTCAGCATCGCCGGATTCAACTTTTCCTTTGTAAGGCCTCTGCACAACTTTGGTTTTGCGTCCAACGTGTGCCCAAGATCCGTTCAACTTTTGTTGAACGAATGTTGGTCAAATGTTGAAACCAATGAAACGGGCCTTTATAAACGTCTGCTACATCTTATTGCACAACACTTCAAGGGCGTTCATAAACTGAACAGTGACATTCAAAGAAGATCTTCAAGATATTCAAGCATAAACCTGATGTGCCCCGGCATCAAAGAAACGGAAGACAGAAGGTGGCAGAACTTCTAGTGTTACCTGTTCATAGCTATGGAATTGCATTGATTTAAAAACTCGCAATTTAAGTGCCACATGCACATCATCATTTAGGAAGACTCCATCGAAGAAAATAGACTTAAGAAAATCATAAGAGCTTACATAACTTTATCTTAAAGTTTAAAGTTTTATAATTAATCATTATTCATTATCTATTGATATTTTCACACTATGAGAATTTTTAACTTATATTGGATCCTTTTATCTATTTATACATATATTTGTTATCCTTTGGAGTTGTGCATCAGTGTTGAAGACGTGGCAGGTTTAAACTACATGCAGGTTTATAGGAAATATCCACGTACATATGTGTTTCCAACTTTAAAACCAGGATTGTAACTACTTTGAATGACTTTACCATGTACCGGGTGCAGTCAAGTGTTGTAAGAAAAACTTGGCTAATTTTTTTTATTAGTACACAGTTCTTTTTCGAAGAATCTAGTTTATTACTGAATCTTAATTCTTTAAGCTAAATTTACATTCTTTTGAATAATTGTAGATCTCCTAGTATCAGTTGTCAACCGGTATTTTTACAACTTTAATATTATTATAGGAAATCCTGCAGATGTACATGTATGGCATATCAGTCCTTTCCCTGACCCTTGTAACAGTTTATTATGTTTATATGGCTATAGAGGGATAGTCAAATTAAGGTTTTGTGCTCAGCCTATACATGAAATTTTATGTAATAAAATAGTGTCCTTCCTAAAACTAGTTTACAAGCATAAGAGTGAGCAACCTAGCACAAGTATGGCTTTTCACAATGATAGTTTCCACGCTCAAAAAAGTCACTTGCCCCAAAAATACTTCTCTAAATCTGCTGGCCTAATAAGACTCAGTGTCTTGCCCTGACAGCCTAACTTCATCATAAAGTCAGCAACAGGAGCAAGCTGGGGCGGATCCAGGGATGGTTCAGGTGATTCGGTCGAACCCCCTAAATTTTCAATCAGAACGCTGGAAATCATGTTTCCAAAGTCCTAATTTTCAAAATCTTGAACCCCTTAGAAGGGGAACAATTCTCCGAACCCCCCTTGACCCACCCCAGGCAAGAAGCATATTAATGACACAAACAGCCAAGCCTATTCCTATGTACACCTTCCTCAATCCTTTTAGCTTATCTGAACATGGCATTTCATACATGGCCATTTCCATTTCCCAACATAGTTTAGTTATTTCATTATGGTGTTTACAAGTTGTAGAAAATGGTTGGGTTGAAATATATTACAAATATTTGCAAGTTTGTTACCACATGAGTGAAAAAATGGAAGGCAAAACTGTGCATTCAACGTATGACCTGAGTTGTTGCAGGACTGAGTTGATCAACTGTAACAAAACCTAAGCATTTTCATGTAGGTTAATGATAAAATATCATGGTGAACCAGTGAAAGTCTTAGTTGAGGGTCAAATTTAACAATATATTCAGATCAATGAAATCAAAAGTTGTGTTCCATGTTAAAATGATGCCACAACTCCACCTTCCAGTGAACTCATTTATTTGCGGAAATGAGTCTACCATATAAAACTTCAACCTCTTAAATGTGTCCAATAACAACATCAACCAAAGTTTACAAATAAAGCTACCACTTGACTGATGTTTAGAATTTATTTCTGTAATTTGGAAATGGATTTCAGGTATTTTTTATACACATGTAGGTTTCTACAAATATCTTTTTACTTTCGAATCCTAAGTCTCTCTCCAGCTAAGTTTGAAATATGATACTCTAGTTCTAGCTTGTCTTCGTTGATTCAAACTTTCACTGAGCAGCGAAAGAGACATGCTAGATAAATTTCGTATTTCAGTAGCTAGCGTTGCCAAGATTATGGAGAGTTGGTTCAAGACATCCGCTTTATTTTCAGTTACAGCAGAGCTTGCCGAATTAAGAAGAAGAAAATCTCAAAAAGAAGCTGTGCATTTCCAGCCAGAGGACCATGAAAGGTGAATACGTACTGAGTCGAAAAACTTACAAAATAGCAGGTTTCACGTGGAGTTGAAAGTGACTTTCTTTTTAATTTATACGCTTACCAGAGGAGGTTGACAC